TAGGTATGAGCTCCTCTAAAACCCGACGCGTTGAATATTTGAGAAACTCAGTGCATTGCTTTATTGATTTTTATTCATATACTATACTAGATAAATTACGTTGTACATTGTCCATATAGCTAAATGCGCTCATTAGTAAATATCAAATCATGTATAACGATTAACCTATTCTAGATATGCAGATATATATAACCCCATCAAACCCATAGTGTGATTGTTTAATTACGTTATATATAACAGCGCATAACTTGTAATTATGCTGTTAAAACCTAACTTTAATCTAACATAGAGAAATATACTCAGTTGGTATAGAGACTTAGATTTGATTACTGCGAGATAGTAATTTGGTTCTTGTTGAAACATTCGAGATGAGATTGTACCCATTGGTTTGGCATTGATTCGAGCTAGAGTCCGGTTGACATCGATAGCTCATAAGATCGTGCCAAATGGTTTGGCATTAATCATTATATACTTGTGCTTGTGTAGACATTAATAGCTGATCGTGCCCATTGATCTGGCATTGATCGATTAAGAGCTCGTGTTCTGATTGACATCGATACCTGACATGATTGTGTCCGGGTTTAGCCATTGATAGCTAAGTAAAACTAAAGTGTACCTGGATAGATACGTGTTCGAGAAACCTTTATGGAGTAGGGCATATACTACAGGAAAGACATTTTTTTCGGTTACAAATTAGAAATTCAAAACATTTTGTTCTTCTCAATAGCTCTCCAAGGAGATGGGGTATGATTGAAAACATACAAGATTTCAATCTTTCTGGAAATTTACTTAAGTTAAACGTGAATCACATGGTAGTTCTGTCAATGCCAAGAAATATCAATATACAGAGTAAATTTGTTTATTCAATTTCAGAAAAATGGGCATTGAGGCAAAAGGGGGCTTTATTATAAATTTTTAATAAATTTTTTTCCACGGGCCGGGCCCTTTTCAGCTAGTTGATTTTATAAAGGTGAATATCAACAAAATATCGAGGTGGAGGTTTTTTACTTATTCGAAGTTATTTTTATGACTCATTCTTTCAAACTTAGTTTATACTGTTACATTTAATACGTTACAGGGTGTTTAAAAATAAACACAGATGATTATTCTAGTTCATGGAACACCCTGTATCATTGTTTGAAATATGAATTGTAAATGATACACTGAAACGTGCTATTTCGAGTTTTATTCAAGGTTAATTTCAAGTATTTTACTTTAGGTGGAAATTTGATCACATTTTACAGGGTTTTTAGGGACTGTCAAGATAATTGTCAGCGGTTCTTTTTATTCTTTTAAACTATACTTTATTTTTGTAGAAATATTTCTTTAAAGGGACTGTAATCGAAATTTCAAGTGTCTCACGAGCAAAGATGGCAATGCCCAATTTACAACGCTACCCTTAAAAGCTTTGTCTGATCAAGTATGAATTAGATATCCATGTTTTTGTCTTTGAAAACTGTTTTTGATTTTGTTTTTCGTGGTTTGCGCATTTCTTGGTTTCAAGAAAGACTGAAGAAAGAATTAAAAATAAACACTTTCGAGGCTGAATTTTAAAAAATCAGATTAAGGTTTAAAGGGCACCGCATTAAATCGGGCATTGCTACCTTTGCAATTAATTGCATGTAATGTCACTTTAAATTACGCTTACAGTCCCTTTAAAGTATTTGCCTTGAGTAACATGCCTGATTCACAATGGTACTCTTTAAACCTATGTCCACAGTAATCAATCACCAGTTTTGCCAATTACTCACTTAGAATTAAAGCTTATAAAAATAAAAGCATTGTGTTATTAAAATGTACATACATTTTTATTGATTTTATCATTATAACCTAAAAAAAGAAAAAATCATGAAAAATCTCCCTATTAGATATAATATGACCTCACATTTTTATTCAACTTTATATATAAACATATTCTTTTTTTTTTTTGAATCCCTTACTCATGCCTAGATAAGTAAAAAAAAATGCACAAAAGAAAAGATTATTTATACAATTCTGTTTAAAAATACTCCTGACATTTATTGTTTATTTTGTCATATATGTGTATTGTGTATTGTTTAAATGTGTGATAAAAAATTACTTTATTAAAGCGAAATGCCGCAATCAGGGGTGCTTAAAAATGTTTGGAGTTACTAGCTACCTTTTAATGGCAAAGGTACGGCAATCCCCAGAATAAAGTGGAATACAATGACGACTTTTAAACCCTAAAACGGGAAAATCGACAACTTCTTGGTGTTCACTTACTGGTTTCGCGTAAACAGACTTTTTTCAAGCTTTTATTTTGCGAAATAATAGCTGTTAAAATTAGTTTTAGAGTGATTACACCCCCCCCCCCACCCCCTCCCCAACATTTATTAAGAAAATGTGTTGAATAGTAAAATATGTTTCATGTTTCTACCATGAATACAAGTTTACTTTATTTGTCATCCTGCAGCTGAAGGTTCCCAAGGAAATCTCATTTGTTGTGTTTGTTTACATTTCTTTGTTTGTTTACATTCTCATGTTTCATTCTGGAACAGAAATAGAGATATAGATATTCTAGACTTCACACACAGATTTATACCAGCGCTTAATCTCGATATCCACTTTGGACACTTTTGATTTTCTTCTTAATTCGCTCTTTTTGGGTCTTACCAAGGAGATTTCCTTCATTCATGGCGCGCCAAATTTCCTGGCTCCTGATTGGTTTTTCGGTTTCTGCAAACGACACCCTGATTGGCTGAATTGTAGACACTTTCCTGAATATCAAATTAAGATTAACTTAATCTGTAGATTAAGAAAAAGAGTAGATAAAGCTATGATCTTGATATCCACAGTACAAGAGTTTCCTGCTCAAACCGTGAAATAGTGGAATTTAAATATTTAAGTACGGGCGTTTTATGCTAAAGGGATAAGTATGACCAAACTTATTCTCTGGCAAAATTTATTTATATTATACTTTTTTTTAAATCAAAATATTAATGTTAGAAAAATTTTCAAAAAACTTGCTTTTATTGTTTTTTATTTTGTTGCAGTTCTGTATCCTGTGCTATCTATTGACTGGAGTCCGGGAGATGATGCCGCTAAACTTTGCGAAAATCTGAAGGAAGACGATTTCGGTCCCGACCTTTATGTACAGCAAGGTATAAATTAATGTATTCGAAGATGTTGCTTCTATCATTCTCTCCCCACTGAAAACTCCGGTTAGTTTGAAGTATTGTACCAACTTTATTGCAGGTAGACCAGGTTGTACAGTACACTGTACACTGTACACTGTACACTGTACACTGTACACTGTACAGAATACATACAGTCTGTAGACGCCAAAACGTGACGATGCACCAAAAAAATCATTCCCTTACGAGATAGGGATGAATCTTTCGGTGAACCGTTTCTTTTTGCCTTCTATTGCCGTACATCTGCAGACTGTACACATGTCTCTAGTTGCCCAAAGGTAGGCTCGGTACAGTACTGAATCGGAGTTTACAAAGCCTCCCTTTATCATATATAATTCTAATCATGCTATGATTTATGCTAATATTTATTATACGCAAGACTCAATTATTTAAATGCACAAAAAATAAAAGTTTTCAAGTAGATTAAATAGATATAAATATTTTGAGGAAACAGAAAATATGCAAAAAGATTTCCTTCTCTTTTTTCCTCCAATATCTTTACCCCCCTCCCCATCTACTTTATTTACACAAATAAAAGCCATGATTTTTAAAAAAAAAATTTTCACTGCTTTTCACTGTTAGCCCATCATATTGTTCGTAATATTAAATCTACCGAAAGCATTTCAAAATTAGCAACATTTTTACGAAAATTTTAACAAAATGTTCTAGGGACATTTTACAAACTTTCATATTTCTGACATTCTGCTATTAATTTCTATCAAAATGTTATAGTTAGAAATTTTAAATTTCTTCCTAAGAAAGTTTGTTGGAGCACCAGTGTTCGAATCTTGTTGATAATTAGTGCCAGACAACATTTTTAGAATGAAATTTTTAATTTCTTCCAAAAGCGTGAACACTCCCTTTATTTAGGTTTGTACGAGGAGGTCAAAAGAATTGAGCCATCAAGCAGTATCGTAGAATCAGTTCAACCCAGAACATATATTATACTAGGTATTCATTCATTTATGTATCCTTTCATCCTTTCATTCATCCTTTCCTTCTTTATTAAATTCACTCTTCATTTTTTCTTTCATTCATCCCTTCAATGCTTTATCTATTTATTTTATTTTAAAAGTGAATATTTGCAAATTATCTTTTTTCCATCTGATAATCGTTTCCCTTATGTCCATTTGACAGCCAAATTTTGAACAATCTTTTTTGTTTGTCTATTTTCTTGTGATTTTAACAAACATTTTTTTATATTTTTATTTATCGATTTTGGTGGTTATTATATCGTTAGAACGGACGAGGGTCAACATCTACAGAGGTTTGGTCCATCACCATCACCGAATTTTAAATGCTTTATTCTTCCTTTCATTCATCCTTTCATTTATTCTCTCATCCATCCACCCTTTCACCCTTCCATGTTCTTAACCATATATACTTTCACCCTTCCATGTTCTTATCCATATATACTTTTACCCTTCCATCCTCTCATCCATCCATCCTTTCACCTTTCCTATCATTCATCCTTTCATCATATCATTCACCCTTCTTTCCCCTATTCATCCTTCTATTTATTGTTTCTATCATTTTATTTATTTACATATAATTTTCAAGTATTGATGACGTTTTTAGCTAATCCTAATAGATTTTCGCCTCAGGAGGTGCAGTTATTTAATTCGCAGTGAACACATTATTCCTTATTCAAGATCATCTTTATTCACACTAACTAGATAGAAGGAGAAGGTTTAATTCATGTGACATACTGTTACGATTTTGCGAGCTCGGAGCTCCTCTAGTTTTAATTTTTAGCACAAGAATAGAGAAGCAAACATTTAGTTTTCGTGATAGATATTCAACAAAAGAAATTATAATTAGAAATATTTTCTTCAATACATAATATATAAGCTGTATCATGGAAACAATTTATCAATATTCATGATATTTCATTTATTTTTTGCATTTCTTATTGCACTGTCTTTAGTTTTTAGTGCCTCATAGTTTTTACAGTTCCATTATTGTTGTTTTTACGGACGATTTAACACAAATGGTCTTTTCTGTAATCTTGGAACCTCAGAGTATACAGGAATTACAAAATTAAGGAGTTGGATTCAAGGAAAAAAAACAAAACCCTCAGAGGATAGTTGAATTACAGAATTTGGGAGTTGGATTCGAGGAATAAAGAAGGAACCTCAGCGGATAGACGAATTACAGAATTTAGTAGTTAGATTCAAGGAATAAACCAGGAACCTCAGAGGATAAATGAATTACAGAGTTTAGGAGTTAGATTCAAGAAATAAACCAGAACCCTCAGAGGATAGATGAATTACAGAATTTAGGAGTTGAATTCGAGGAATAAAGAAGAAACCTCAGCGGATAAATGAATTACAGAATTTAGGAGTTAGATTCTAGAAATAAACCAGGAACCTTAGAAAATACAGGAATTACAGTATTAAGGTGTTAGATTCAAGGAAAAAAGGAACCTGAGAGTATAGATAAATTACAGAATTTAGGAGCTATATTCAAGAAATAAACCAGGAACCTCAGAGTAATGATTGATTACAGAATTTAGGAGCTAGATTCAAGGAATAAACCAGGAACCACAGATGATAGTTTGTTTATTGTGTTATTTAGGAATCTAAATGAAAATTTATCACAATTATTTTATTACAACCTGCCTTTTTGTAATATGTGTACACTAAATTCAGTTGGACACATTTTATTCAGAGAGTTGCATTTATGAGTTTTATCTTCATCGTTGGGAAAAATGCAATTTTCTTGAATTCGTACTTCTCCGAATATTTATAATACATTTCCTCTTAGTTAACTTTGTATCTGATTTTATCTTCTTAGTTTATTTACAGAGATCCAAGCAGCCCAGGGGGGGGGGGCGGCTTGATCTTAACTACATCTCCGGTTGTATAGTAGTTTATTGAAAAAGGATATTAAGAGATTATGGCCTATTTATACAGAACAAACATCAAATATGCAGTATGCTCTCGGAGTGCAAGTGTATGGGGATGTTTAGTATCTTGAATCTTACTCAGTTTTCTCAGAACCGTTTATTAACGATGAAATATTGCTCTGTAAAAGACTGCAAATGTACGTCTTCCTGTGAAAATGGAATCCTGATTCCTGCACACGATAAAGGAGTTGTGGATTTTAATGTTACATGGAAAACAAATTCTCCATTTAAATATTTTCAGAAATCACCCCCAAGTATACTGTAATACAGATCGACCTTTGGAAGTGAAGTACATGGCCTGTACAATTAGTAAAGGATTAGCGTACATCATCACTCTAAATACTATAACCTCGTTGAAGCAGCCATAAAACAATTGTACATCAATTTTCAAGGCTTGTTCGAATTTGAACTGTCCCAAGCGCAACGCTTTTTTTGTGTTTTCTTTACTAATATTCACCTTTACATTTGTGTAGCCCTTTCCATATTTATTAGCATTTTATAAATACAATCAGTTGTTTTCTAGCTTCTTAAATGAAGTTTTTTTTTCTAAAGACTTATATATTTTTGTGTCAGACCTACACATTTTGGATGACTGTTTTTACTTGATTATTCAATTATTTGGTTAAGTCTTTTTCTCTCTGTAAGTAATGTTCTTTGTGTTTAGGTTCATTTTCTGTCTTTTTGTAAATTTTTCCCTTATTCTTCTTCTTAATCTTGTTGTTGTTGTTGTTGTTGTAGTTGTTGTTGTTGTTGTTGTTGTAGTTGTTGTTGTTGTTGTATTTGTAGTTGTTATTGTTGGTGATGTTGTTGTTGTTGTTGTTGTTGTTGTTGTTGTTATTGTTGTGTTTGTAGTTGTTGTGGTTGTTGTGGTTGTTGTCGTTGTTGTTGTTGGTGGTGTTGTCTTGTCTTGTCTTGTCTTGTCTTGTCTTGCCTTGTCTTGTTTTGTCTTGTCTTGTCTTGTCTTGTCTTGTCTTGTCTTGTCTTGTCTTGTCTTGTCTTAATTGTCTAAGTTCTTGTCTTGTCCTCATCTTGTTCTTATTCTTGTTATTGTCTAAGTTCTTGTCTCTATTTTTGTTATATTCTATCTTATTAGATATAAGTTGCATGCCAAGGATCGGTATTCTATGCCTCTGCAGTGTAGTCTCTACTGTTTACGTAATTAGCTAGAAGAAAACAAATATTTTTTACTGTTTACATTACATCTATATATTGCTTGAGTGTCTGTAAGTTTGTATTCAAAAAACGTCCTAATGGCTGAACAGATCGGGCCCAATTTTATGTGGGACCTCACATGCCCCTAGAGTTGGCTTATGGATGCTCAGAATTGCAAAAAACTCTTAACATGTTTTGATCAACAAAAAATTCGGAAAAATGTTATTTTTGTTTTCTCGAAGAAAATGCTGAAAGATTGAGCAACAATTAAAAGTGGAAATAGAAGATGGGCGCTAGCCTAGTATAATACAGGTTGTCCAAATAAACATGGGAATTCAGTGACGAATTCGATATCGTCTTTTTAAATAATTCTTTGATTTAGTATAATGATACCTACTGAGAAAGCTGTAATCTGTAAGAGTTTCGTCTGCTATGTTCACATTTTGTTTGCTTATGTTTTGACTGCATACGGTTGTACTTAGTAAAACAAGAAAATTGCAGTAGACAAACAGAGTAAACTTGTCCGTCTTCACTGTTCATTCTGCGGAGACATTATAATCACATATTTACAGTCTTTTACCCTTTTCATAAAATAAACTCTAGCAGACATAATAATATTGTGGCTTTTGAAATTAGGTATTACAATGCTAATTAATAACAAAGACGATATCGAATTCGTCACTGAATTCCCATGTTTTTTTGGGACACCCTGTGCCATAGATTTATTAAAAGAACAGATAGGAGACTAGATGTCGTCTTTTCAAGATTTATGTGTATTTCCTTCACAACAACCCTGAGGCAGAATGTTAATTTACAGTGTTCACGTTCTCTAAAGAATGAATATTTACAGACCGTCTTTTTTTAAATCAATTTTTTTCTAATATTTTTTGTTTAGGGTTTAAGAGTCTTGAATCCAGTGTATCTAGTGTTCTAGAGTCAACCTGGAGAGACTGGACGGGAGCTAGGTAAAAAAATTTTTTTTATATCTCTGGTTACTACATTATTTTATGTCCCTGGCTACCAAATTATTTCATATCTCTGGTTACCAAATTATTTTATATCCCTGGTTACCACATAATATTGTATCCCTGTTACCACATTATTTTACATCCCTGGTTACCAAAATATTTTATATCCCTGGTTCCCACATTATTTTATATACCTGGTTACCACATTATTTTATATCCCTGGTTACCAAATTATTTTATATCCCTGGCTACCAAATTATTTTATATACCTGGTTACCACAATTTTTTATATCCCTGGTTACCACATAATATTGTATCCCTGTTACCACATTATTTTACATCCCTGGTTACCAAAATATTTTATATCCCTGGTTCCCACATTATTTTATATACCTGGTTACCACATTATTTTATATCCCTGGTTACCAAATTATTTTATATCCCTGGCTACCAAATTATTTTATATACCTGGTTACCATATTATTTTATATCCCTGGTTACCACATTATTTTATATCCCTGGTTACCACATTATTTTACATCCCTTTCAAATCTTTATAAAGTTAATAACTTTATATTTACGATTTTATTTGTATTTTTTTGCTTTAACTCTACTTTTTTGTTTGCTAAGCATTGTTGAAATGTAAAGATAAAGCATAAACATCTTAGAAATAAAATTCTTTGATGTTCGTTCGAAAAAAAATATAATCTTGCAGTTTCAGATTATACTATTAGGACTATGTATTGTTTTCTATTTCAAAACTGTTCAAATAATTAGAAAATTTCATTTTGTTACAATTTTAAAGAGGTCGAAGTTAAGGGAAATATAAAGCCTAAACTGATGTGAATAAGTCCTCAGAGTAAAAAATGTATTTATATTATAAGAAAAGAACAAATAATGGTTGAAACTAACAAATCGAAGAAAGCCGAAGCTCTCTGGCAGACTCTCCGCCTTTAGTCCGCCTCCTCATATGACGGGTTAATCTTCCTCCTTTCGATTCTTTGTGACGACTTCTCCATTTTGGCATTAGCCTGGCCTACCTTGTTACCCGTGCCCTCGTGATTCAAGCCGTTGTTCACGCCTATTGGCTTGAATTTGAAATAGAACTTGGGTCAACGGTGGCTTGCTTTTCCATGCGTTGAAACACGCCTTGTCATCATGTTTTCTAAGATGGCATCTTTTAACAGACAAAAATATCTTGATACAATATACACGGGGCGACTTATTATCTGTCCTACTTTCTGTCCGAAATATAGCTATATACAAAGAGTTAATAAGCTGCCATGCTTGTAGGCCGGACTACTTGCAATGTGAGCTTAGCTCCGGTTCCATATGAGGACTGAAGGGGTTGCATCAATAGAACTATCCAATCTGAGCTTAGCTCCGGGTCTGTATTAAAACTGAAGGGGTTACATCAATGGACCTATCCTTATTCCAAGCTATTGAGCTCATACTGGTTACACTATTATTGGTAATCCTTCAAATCTCTTTGTAGGAGGGAGGTATTTTTTATACTTGCAGGCCTTAAAGCATCCCTGCAGGGCCCAACAAAAATAGGTTTTAGCCCATTTGGGGTTTTAATAGGAACACCCAGTAAAGCGGTAAACATGATTTAAATATACAATCGGTAGCTTTGAAACCCAGCTTTCCCTGGAAATTTAAACTTTCCTTTTAAAAGTCAACCTGCTCAACTCATTCTACCGAGGTTCCAACTAGATATTAGAGGGAAATTGGTTCAGGAGTTCATGAGTAATCAATTAGAGATTACTACTTCGTATATATTGATTCTTTATTCTTTCCCGTTATTTTTCAACATTATCTTTTCAAACAAATGCTTTGATAAAATTAATAAATATTTTGGAATTATAAACAATTGGAATTATTGTGTTTAGTTGAATCCCAGAGTCTCCCTTTTCATTTTATATTTAATTAATTTTAATCCTTTTGTTCTGAAATATGTTTCTTTAATTCTATAATTCTTTAATAACTCTCATCCACCCTAATTAATTAGATTATTAAATTATTATTCTGGAATTAGAAATACTGTCCATTTTGCTATTGTTATCATTATTGTTATATTATTATTATTATTATTATTATTATTTTTGTTATCATTATCATTATCATTATTATTATTATTATTATTATTATTATTATTATTATTATTATTATTATTATTATTATTATTATTATTATTATTATTATTATTATTATTATTATTATTATTATTATTATTATTATTATTATTATTATTATTATTATTATTATTATTATTATTATTATTATTATTATTATTATTATTATTATTATTATTATTATTATTATTATTATTATTATTATTATTATTATTATTATTATTATTATTATTATTATTATTATTATTATTATTATTATTATTATTATTATTATTATTATTATTATTATTATTATTATTATTATTATTATTATTATTATTATTATTATTATTATTATTATTATTATTATTATTATTATTATTATTATTATTATTNAAGAAGAAGAAGTTGAAAGTATATTATCTCAGTCTAGGTTCATCAACAATCAAGGAAACTCGGTCCCAGTCTGATATTTTTAGGATAAACCCTCGGTCCCAGCTGGATATGTTTATGTATATAGTACTGGTAGAGCTTGCAAATGTGACGTCTGACAACCTTATCAGGGAATAATCTTAAAGCAAAAATATTTTTTTTAAAACTATAATTCTTTATTCCGAAAGACAAAAATTTTAAATTGAAATTCTGAAATTTTTTAAATATATACAGGGTTACCGTCAAAGGATGAGACTGTAAAGCTTCGACCTAAAACACTTAAAATATGACGATTCCCAGGTCAAATTAAGTCTTCTCTGCCTTGAAGTTAGTCATTTTCTGGCCTGTTTATGGATTGGGCAAAGAAATTTTTTTTAAAGTTGTATGTGGTTAATCATAAATATAAATTTTGTAGAGTTGTCTTTGAAGTATCATCCTTGGTGGGTAACCATGTTTAACAAATGACCACCCCATTTACTGTCGTAAAACCATTTTTAAATCCAAAACCAAGTTTAATGCAAACTTTGAAACTACAAATAACACCTTTCATTCCATCATCTTTTTTTATTTTTTATTTTCGTGCAATAACTGATTTTTTAAATTCTAATTCTGATCTAAGATTGGTTATTCAGATTACTTGATTTCGTCCAAAGAACCAGAGTTGAGAGAATGACCGGATATATATCTCTGTACAGGTATAATTAAGGAACTGTCGGCGTAATTTCAAGTGACCCAACAATTCACAACGGTACCCTCTAAGTTTATCGGAAGTAACAACGAAGGAGTATATTGTCATTTTTCTATCGAAAACAAATTTAAAAGAAGGAGAGACAAGGCTAACTTCATTTTTTATTGTTTAAAGGTTTCCAGTTTATCAGAATTAAGTCCAGTAAAAAACTTGTAAAAATCCACGAAAATGTTGGAAATCGAAATCTTTTAACTATTAACTACTGTATAGGGATCTAGGTATCCTGGATATAGATAGTAACTACTGTTTAGGGATCTGGGTATCCTGGATATAGATAGTAACTACTGTATAGGGATCTAGGTATCCTGGATATAGATAGTAACTACTGTTTAGGGATCTGGGTATCCTGGATACAGATATAGTTACTACTGTTTAGGGATTTGGGTATCCTGGATACAGATATAGTAACTACTGTTTAGGGATCTGGGTATCCTGGATACAGATATAGGTACTACTGTTTAGGGATTTGGGTATCCTGGATACAGATATAGTAACTACTGTTTAGGAATCTGGGTATCCTGGATACAGATTGTAAGTACTGTATAGGGATCTAGGTATCCTGAATACAGATAGTAACTACTGTTTAGGGATTTAGTATCCTGGATACAGATAAAGTAACTACTGTTTAGGGATCTGGGTATCCTGGATACAGATATAGTTATTATTGTTTAAGGATCTAGGTATCCTGGATACAGATATAGTAACTACTGTTTAGGGATCTAGGTATCCTGGATACAGATAGTAACTACTGTTTAGGGATCTGGGTATCCTGGATACAGATATAGTTACTACTGTTTAGAGATCTGGGTATCCTGGATATAGATATAGTAACTACTGTTTAGGGATCTGGGTATCCTGGATACAGATATAGTTACTACTGTTTAGGGATCTGGGTATCCTGGATACAGATATAGTAACTACTGTTTAGGGATCTGAGTATCCAGGATACAGATATAGTAACTACTGTTTAGGGATCTGGGTATCCTGGATACAGATATAGTTACTACTGTTTAGGGATTTGGGTATCCTGGATACAGACAGCAATTACTTCTCGGCAGAGGAGAGAGGGGAAAGCAGTCTCAGTTTCTCAAAACAAAGGCAGATAAATGCAAACTTATATTTTGAAATAAAAAAATATTTAATTTTTAGAATTTTGCCTTAAACAATATTCAGTTTAATATTTCAAATTAACGAAGAAATGTCATACAATTTATCCACAATTTCTCATACTTCATTCGAATAATTAAATAATCGTCGGAACTAAAAAAGGTGGTTGGGGCGCAACTTGGGGGGTTGTAAAAGGGGGGGGGTGATATCTGTTAAAAGATTTTACTATTATAGTTAAACAATTCCGTATATTTTAACATGAATGTTTTTTTTAATTAGAAAATTAAATCATGATTTAAAATTTGCCACAGTGGTTTCAAAACGGGGGGGAGGGGGTAGATATACAAACCTCTGAATTTTCTTTAGAATTATATTTAAACAATATAAATAAGTTTTCTGGTTTCTTGTTTCAGCTTTCTAGAAACAAGAAATGAATACTAATTCAAGGAAGGAAACCAGAATCCTGTATTTGATATTTACATAATTTTCATATTTTTTTTTTTTTTTTGGGGGGGGGGTCAAGGGGATGTGGGGTTGGAGGTTGTACTGTTATGTAATGTGTTGTGCTGCACTGTAGTGTACTGTACTTTACTGTACTGTACTGTACTGTACTGTACTGTACTGTACTGTACTGTACTGTACTGTACGTACTGTACTGTACTAGTACTGTACTATACTGTACTGTACTGTACTACACTGTAATGTACTGTACTACACTGTAATGTACTGTGCCGTACTGTAGTTAAAAGGTTTGCATTTGATCAGTAAATCAACCGGAAGTAGAGACTCTCTTCTTGAATCAGGGATGGAAGATTCTGGAACTGTTAGAAGAACTAGAAAAAAAGTATCCTGCTCCTACTCCTGTGATTCAGCCTACAGTTCAGATTGGAGGAAAATATCCAGTCAATCAGACTCATCCGATTCATATTCAAAAACATTAGATAGAACCACGCTTAGATCTGATTGGAGACCAACGACCCTCTCCTCAAATCATAACCAATCGGCGAGTTCTGATTGGTTGCAGCAAAATTTACAGTCTCATGATTGGTCAAGAGAGCGAACTCTAAGCACAGAATGTGAACGGTTGGATAAAAAAGACTCGCTTAAGTCAAATTATCAAAGAACTAATGAAGTGAAAAATGTCGGACAAAAACACAATAACTTCGGTTCAAGGGAAGCTTTCAATAGCTTGGGAGGACGGGATGGGTTGGATAGCTTCGGTAGCTCCGGGAGCTGGGAGGAGAGCTCCAGAAAGAGGTTTGAACTGCTCTCCACGGACTCCGTGGAGAAGCTGAACTTGCCTCCTCCCCTGAAGGCAACCATCTACTCTCCATCCAGGAATTCATCTTTGAAAAAAATAAGTTTTTATACTGGTGGAACGTTCTGGTCATTATAGGACTTACAGGCGAAATTAGTAGGGGCATGGGGGCAATGCCTATCTTCCAAAATTTTTATTTCCCATTTTAAAGATCATATGGTATTAAATGAATTTTCCCGGGCGGTCCTAAGAATTAACCCTGCTAATTAGCACCAAAAAGTAAAAAAATCTACAGTAATAGTTTTTTTATGAAGAATTTGTCCTCGAAATATTTAAATCTTGAAATAAAATTTGAAGAAATATGGAAATTTTTCAATTTTAAATGAACGATTAAAGTCCGAACTTAAAAACATATTATTTATAGAACTTTAACCTTCCACCGTATAAGGAAGAATGAAGCACAAATATGTTAAAAACAAGAAAAATAAAACAAAAATGACAATCACAAATCACATTTTTTGATTTCGTATGTTTTGTTTGTATCCCCTTGACATTTAAATGTTTAATCGTTAAATAATCAAAACATTTTATTTGTTATTTCAAAACATGCATAAACTATTTTATGAGAGATGAATAAACTTTTAGGCCTGAGTCCCCTCCTTTAGGCTTCACTACGCAGGTAGCGGGAAAACTATTTTTTACTAAAATATATTTGTACACTGTACAGGCCTTGAAAAGATGAGACGACTGTATCCGGAATTGTGTCTTAGATGCATTTTTTTGGTCAAATTATTCACTTTAAAAGTTTTTTTTAAAGGCAGAAGACCAAATTCCATGCACGCGGCATTATTAATGTTTTAGTTTTTCATTAAACAATTTACAAATCACATTAATCTCTTTGAAAGAGGAGGATTTATTTGGGTCACTGTACCTTTGTGTACCGACAATAGTTTGTATGATTAATTGGAATCTTTAACGAGCATTATATGATAATAATAATAATAATGATAATAATAATAGTAATAATAATAATAATAATAATAATAATAATGTACACCGTACTACTTGCTCTACCTGCCTATAAGTAGGTACGGTACTTTAAATGAACCTGAGTTTTCATTAACATGTAGGTTTATCAAAAAAGATAAACAGTTATTGTTAAGTTTGTGTTAATAAGTCAGTGTATTCTGTACTATGTACTCTGTACTGTGTACTCTATACGTTGTACTCTGTACTTGTACACTTTGTACTCTGTACTCTGTATTCTGTACTCTGTACTCTGTACTCTGTACTCTTTACTCTGTACTCTGTACTCTTTATTCTGTACTCTATACTCTGTACTCTGTATTCTGTACTCTGTACTCTGTACTCTGTACTCTGTACTCTGTACTCTGTACTCTGTACTCTATACTCTGTACGCTGTACTATGTACGCTGTACTCTGTACTCTGTACTCTTATTCGTCTATATAATTTGTGGTGTATATTGTTTTGTATTTTTATTTTGATTATGATTAATCATATATTCCCCTAGAACTATCTAAATAATATTTGTGTCAGCAATTCTTAGTTGTCTCATCTTGTTATAAATAATGACCAAAGTACATATCATATCAATACAGGTTTACCTACAATTGTCTACAACACTAGAAATTCCCAAGAAGGGTCTGATGCATTTGGTATACCGTCCCGTTTTGCCTGGTAAAATCTGTATGTGTACTGTACAGCTTAATGTCACCCCGGTTCTTGAAATGACCGGACTTGACAGTGTCAAATGATGATAATTCAGAGACGATCTGCAGTACGGAATTTACTCACAATCCTTCTCCCATGCAACCGGAAATTGGTTCCCGTGCAACCGGAAATTGGTTCCTTTTTTTAAAACTCATTTGGCAGCTTAAACTGTTCAATCATAAGTTGGTTGTCGTCTTTAAAATCTTTAAGTTCTTTGAGTGTACCCCGGTATTTTCTTACATTTTTCTGAAATTATAATTGTACATTAATGCAAGAGAAAAACTAGGGAGTATTTAGAGGCAGTTAATTTCTAGCATCAAACCTTTCAAATGTGTTCAAATACAATTCTGTTCTTGGAAATTTGCTTTTTTTGGAATCAACAATTCTGCTGTAAATAAACTTGAAAATGTTAATGGCCCGATGATCATATTTTCCATTCTTTAAAAGATAAAGTTTAATTGTTGGGATTGTTAAAGATAAATCTACTTTATTATTTAGTAAAAATTCAACAATTGGACTTGGTTATTATTTTAACAAGAGAAAGTTTTTAAAGTAAGACTCAATTTTGCTATTACATGAAGATAACTATAGAAAATTTGAACAGATTTTAATAAAATAAATATTTTATATCTAGCACTCAGATTATACGATTTACGGCCTTTCCTGTCAAGGTACTAATGCAAGGAAAGTTAATTGCAGTTGTGTATACTCTGCGTACATATTGAAACCAGTTCTCTCTGGGCGGACTTTGTAAACAAGAATATATGCATCAGTGTTCGTTTATTATCCGAGGAGGTTAAAAGCACTACAGTTTGATAATTTTGAAAATTCACAGAATAGTTTCCTATGAGCAGAATATTTCATAGATTATTTTTGAGAAAATGGATTCCATGTCAGACTGTGACATCCGTCTTGTGTTTACTTTTCCGCCCAAAGACAGTACACTGCAGTACAAAAAATGCGTACACCTCTGAAATAACTTTCCTTGTGAGAAAAAAACTGTAACTTCTTTATATTTCAAAGTACGCCTTTTATATACTATAAGTAGTAATCTGTTTTTTTTCTGTCCGAACATAACTAATTAACGTAATTACCTTTTCACCGATTTGTCTCAAATTTTGACCAGGGAACTCGATAGAACTTTGATAAGAATATTCTTAGCTTGTAGTTTGAAAATTTGAAAAGTTGATCGATTTTCAGAGAGTAAATTCAGATTTACAGACAAAGCTTGATTCCCAAGCCACTAATCTGATAAAATCTGGGAAATAAAATATTTTTGCTTTTCACCGCTAGTTTTCACGATCAGTTTGGGGGTTGAAAACGTAAAATAAAAACATTTTAAATATTTCTATCATATAACCTTATATAGGGTGTCCCAATAAACATGGGAATTCAGTGACGAATTCGATATCGTCTTTTTAAATAATTCTTTGATTTAGTATAGTGATACCTACTGAGAAAGCTGTAATCTGTAAGTCTTCTATGCTCACATTTTGTTTGTTTATGTTTTGACTGCATACGGTTGTACTTATTAAATCACGAAAATTACAGTATACAAACAGAGTAAACTTGTCCGTCTTCACTGTTCATCTTGCGGAGACATTATAGACACATCTTTACAGTCTTTTACTCTTTTCATAAAATAAACTCTATTTAGCAGACATAATAATATTATGGGTTTTGAAATTAGGTATTACAATGCTAATTCATAACAAAGACAATATCGAATTCGTCACTGAATTCCCATGTTCACCCTGTAGTTTGACAGGAGCCTGTTATTAGTTAAAGGAAATAAAGTTTCAATTCCATCCAGAAATTAGATACATCATATATCATAATCATATAATTGTAATCTGTATGCTGTATAATACAGTGACACTGTAAATATAAATTTCAAAGTTGCAAAATATTACTATTTACGATCTCTAAACTTATTTATATACTTGTATCTACATCGTAAATGTATGTTTTGTAAACAAACAATCCTGCTGTATTTACAGGGTGTACCAATGAACACGGGAAAAGAAAGACGACTTAAAAATAATTTTTTGTTTCCAATCTACATAAAAAAGCTCTTCTCTCATATATATATGTATATATATATTTATATATTTGTCTGTACTCTGAATATATGTTAGCTATAGCTGGCCAAACAGCTAGACCGAAATGCCTGAATTTTTTTTTGAGGAAACTCATATTTACCCTAGGGTTAACAAAGGCTTCAAAAATCGTTTAAATTTTTTAATTTTAAAATTCGAATAAAATTCCGCGGGCAACGCCGGGCACTTTAGTTAGTAGTTTATACATGACAGAGAGTGTTTTAAATGCTATGAGCTTTTCGAATTTTAATCTGTTTACCTTCTTTTCTTTGTATTTTGGAAATTGACGGAGATAAAATGTTTCAATGTCCAATCACAATTCAGAAACCCCTGGACTGCCGACTGACTTGCCTCAAATTTGTATTGGAAAACTCGGTTGAAACCACAGAAATTCTCTTAGCTTGATTTAAAAATTCTAAGTTGAGTGGGTTGACTTTTGTAAGGAAAACTTGGTTTCCAGGCGAAGCCGGGTTCTCAATCTAGTTTTCAATAAAGTAGAATCTTGACAAATTTAATTTTTCTTGATATCTTAACAATTATTTGTTTAATGGAACATCCTAACCAAACAATTTCTATGATGTTACTTCATCTGTTAATAGACTGCAGTAAACAAAGTAATTATAGCTTTCAGCTTGGAAGCCTAGGTGGGATTGTGTTAATACATTCTTGCACCTCATCAAATATATTTGTATCGCATAAATATGAATATTTTTATAAAATAACACTCTATAACATTTTTTGTTTTGTTATATTTTGGTCTATGGGCTGCTATGCGCTCTTCGCGTTCCTCTTAGTACTTTTTATTGTATGTTTTTCATGCGAACTTTTTTCTACGTTCATTATTATTAAAATAAAAATTTTAGGTTTTGCGAATTTGTCTGCGTTTTTTTTTGTTGATTTCCAAAAATTTTCAAAATCAATATTTTTGAAGGCAATTTTTTTTTAACTTTTACTGGCCATATGATGTGCATTGTGTCTCTGAGTGAGATATGAAAACGTTTAACCCAATGTTGGGAGGGGGGATGAGTGCAGATGTCCTCAATTTGTAATCACACCACCCAAACGTGTTTTGCGGCATGCACGCTTAATTTGTAATCACCACCATCCTCAGTTTATAGAACATGGTCCCCAGGCAGGCCCCCCAACTTTATTGGAACAACTTTGTGACCTTGTAGCTCCTTAAGCTTTGTTTTTACGCAGATGTATGAAATAAGCAAAGAACTTGAGTCTTTGACACAAACTCTGATTTTCTAATTCCATTATCTCTGCAACCCAGTGTTGTAGACCATAGATATTTCAAACTATAATTCTGTTGCATTAAATTATCTTAGTTTGAAATATTAAAAGTCTACAACATTAAGTTCCATAGATATAGGGATTAGAAAATATGAGTTTGTTACAAAGACTCAATTCCTTTATCCAGTTACACGTCAGGTATTCAAAACATCTTTGCTTTTCTCAATAATTCTTCAATGGGAAAAGTTATGTTTGAAAACATAAAAGATTTCAATCTTACCAAATCAATTTACTTTTAGAGGGATATTGGGTGAAAATAAGAATAATATACAACTTAAACATATCTTTTAATACATTTATAGAATGTTTACATAAAAGATTTTCCCAAAAAAATCTCCTGTAAAATCTTATTTTATAGATGATTTTTTACACCTACACAAATATTTGATTTAGTTTATTTACACCTACACAAATATTTGATATAGTTTATTTACAGTAAATTTACATCTACACGAATATTTGATTTAGTTTATTCCAATTTATTTACACCTACACAAATATTTGATTTAGTTTATTTACAGTAAATTTACATCTACATAAATATTTGATTTAGTTTATTTACAGTTTATTTACACCTACACAAATATTTGATTTAGTTTGTTTAAGTTTATTTACATCTACACGAATATTTGATTTAGTTTATTTGCAGTTTATTTACACCTACACAAATATTTGATTTAGTTTATTTACAGTTTATTTACACCTACACAAATATTTGATTTAGTTTATTTACAGTTTATTTACATCTACACATATATTTGAATTAGTTTATTTACAGTTTATTTACATTTACACATATATTTGATTTAGTTCATTTACAGTTTATTTACACCTACACAAATATTTGATTTAGTTTATTCACAGTTTATTTACACCCAAACAAATATTATACATATTACATCAATCTTTTTTCTTAAAAATATTGAATTAAGATCAACCATAATGATTAATGGTTTACCTATGGTTCAGCTAGAAGAAAATACTTTATAAAGAAATATCAAGATTTCTTTGGATATTAGATGTATCATATACAATGAGATTCACAAAACACGTAGCAAAAGACTTTTTAAAACAACATACTTATAATCTGTTTAACTTTAGTGTGGTGTTAATATTGCCTTTAAAGATTTTCATTTCAGGTTAGCCAGCTGAGAGAGGCTATTTCTTTCCTGCCAAATGTGACCAAAAAATCCGCCAGATTGTCAGCTGGGTCCCGACCCGTACCGTCAACAGTAGGGCAGAATAAACCAAGGACGGGTCCAGCACGGACTGTATCAACAGTTTTGTCCCCTACAGCACCCGCTGTTCATCTTCACATGAATCCGGCGAATTCTATCGGAAAGCCTTGTCCAGGATATATTGCTGGGACAATTAGATCATCTTTAATTATCAAAACTAAAGAGTAAAATCTTTAAAGTTAATAATAGATGTACAAGTACAGTACAGTAGTACCTAGTACGTAGTGTACAACTCAGTGAAACATATATATATCGGTATACCTACAAATACAACGACTTTGGAAGAACGCAAAGTTGGTTAAAATTCGCACATCAGGAATTGGCCAAATGCTCCTTCTAAACTGAAGCTATAGAAGAAAGCGCTTTGCGATGTTTAAATCTGTATGTACATGGCAAAATAAACAGGAAAGGTCAAGCCAAACATACAATCCTGTAATCATAAGTTTTGGGTTCTAAGCTTGAAGAAGGTGATATATTTTAATCTTATAATTAATTAATTTTAAGTGATAGTTTTCTGAATAATAATGTTTTTATCCATTTGTACAGTGATAACCAGAAAACAATGGAATAAGAAGAAATTGCCGCAATACTTAACTGTAGTTGATGTTGTTTTACTAGACACTAATTTTTTTCGGTACTCCATTGCCCAAAAAAATCCACAAAACTTTTGTTCTCTTAAAATCATAAGTTCAGAAAAGCAAAAATTTGTAAATATTTATTGTTTCTATCAAATTCTAAAATTTTATAAATATTGAATTACAGAATCACAGCAAATTCGCAAAATTGTAATAAGAAAATTTGCAATTTTCAGTGCTGGTCTAATTTTTAAGGAAAAGTTGTTTTTCAATGGCTCCTCAGTTTTTAACTGAACAGCGTATATTTATAACTTTAGACTAAAATATGCTAAGAAGAAAAGAACTATAGAGTATTTAAAGATCACATTATTCAAGATTTTCAAATTGAATCTCCTGGAGTTTATTAATTCTCCTTTAACCAATTAAATTTATTTTACATATCTTCCAAGCTTTTAAACCAATATTTATAAAATTTCAGAATATGATAGAAATTATACATATACTCATTTTTGCTTTTCCGAGCTTTTGATTTTGAGAGACAAAAAAGTTTGGCGAATTTTTTTGGGTCGCGTATTGGATGGAGTACAAAAATAAAAATTGCCGAAAAGTATTGAAAAAATACCATACAGGAGAGTTTCACAAAAAAGGTACAATTTTGCAGCAGACGCTGCTAATCACTTTTTTTACTCACCCTGTGGTTGTTCACAAGTTTATCGTTTTTTAAGAAGAAAATGCGTGATTTTTTTATAAAAACTTTGCAGAACGGGTCGTTATTTTACTTAATTGTCATAAGGGACGTAATAATGGGTCGGTAATGTTGGTCAAAAGATGGTACAAATTATAATTATCTTATTTTAAAAGTCGTCTAACTATTACAGAGCTTTCTGGTTATCACTGTAAAAACTAAAAACAAAGTACACCGGGTACATTTCAGCATGGAGGAGAATTTAGTGGAAAAAAGATGAAACCTGAAAACTTTTTACAACAAAACAGAGGAACGTTTTCCTCTCGGAGTATAATTTATACAATAGTTTTACCCAAGGAAGATAAACCAGGAATCTACAAATTTATGCTTTCAATAATTTCTTTGTGTACTGCAGATTCTGGGAGAAATATAAACAAGCTCATCCTGAGAAAGGAGTTTACCTGAACTGTCGTCATTGTTTACATTTAAAGTGTACTGCTGTTTCTGGGGGGAGTGGAAACTTCCCCCCAGCTCCTCTAGTTAACTTTAAGGTCTCGTAGCTCCAATAGTTTTGATTTTACTCACGAATATCAACGAAACAAACATTTGGTGGTTAAAAACTAGAAATTCAAAACATATTTTTTTCTCAACAGCTCTTCTAAAAGATGAGTTATGAGTGAATACATGTAAGATTTTATTGTAGCGTAAAAATTTTCTTCAATTTGACATGAATGTTATAAACGTTTTATACAAAAAAGATGTGGTTCCTGGTAGCACTTCATGCTTTTTATATACTTCCTTGGAACTTTAGTAAAGGTTCCTGGTCAATCTTTCTTGATTTTACTGCTTCATTCTTTGCAGACAGGTTTTATAAATTGATTGATGGAAAATTTGTCCGAAACTCCAGGTTTTATATAAACACATGAAAACTATTCTGAATTCATGAAATAAAATTCGGTATAGTCTGAAAAAAACTGCAACTATTTCGATTAGATTCTTAGATACAATAGTCTTTTTTGAAATTACTTCTGTCAGAAAAAAAAGTATCATAGTTACTAATTAAATTGTTAGATTTAATATTTTTCATATTATACTTGTTGTTTTTTACAATTTGCTTAGTGCACAAGAAAAGTGAGCATATTATTGCTTTAATATAAAACTATTCTACAAGGTTACCCAAAAAGGATGATACTTTAGATAATTGCATATTTAAATAGTGTTTAGTCGTCATTAAAAATGCGAAAATTTCGCTAAAAACGTATATATTGTGGACAGACAGACAGAAATTTAAAAAGATAGCTATTGAAATCAAATTCTCTTCATCGAATATTTATTAAAGTAAAGGAAAAGAAATAATTTACATGACATAATAAAACTTCAAATATTGAGCTATCAGAGCAGAGAATTCCTAGTTCTTTTGAGCAATTAATTGTTGCAGCTTCAAAATTTTCGCATTTTTTCGCGAAACGTTTTGTTCGCTGAAATTGTACTAATGATGGCTCTTAAGGTCATGTAAAACGTTTGATTGTAGTTTTAACTATTTATTAGAGAAAGAATCTTATTCCTGTCCTGAAACTTTGATTTTGTTAACCCATTATCTTTGCAACCTTATGGGCTATGGCGACTATGGCAAACTTGGACTATTTGATTTTGATCTAGTGAAACACTTAGTTTTCAGTTTCAACTAGGACTATTTGATTTTGATCTAGTGAAACACTTAGTTTTCAGTTTCAACTTGGACTATTTGATTTTGATCTAGTGAAACACTTAGTTTTCAGTTTCAACTTGGACTATTTGATTTTGATCTAGTGACTTAGTTTTCAGTTTCAACTTGGACTATTTGATTTTGATCTAGTGAAACACTTAGTTTTCAGTTTCAACTTGGACTATTTGATTTTGATCTAGTTTTCAGTTTCAACTCAGTTCTTTAAAATATTTTAAAATAATTTTAAAGAAATCGGAATTTTTCGCGCTTGCTTCTAGAAATGTTCTCAAAATTCAACTTGATAGATTTAATTGAATAATTGTGTAAAATTCAATCTGATTAATTACTAGTTTAATATTATCTTTTTAATCTTTAAACTGTACCAAACGTGATAGTCTATAGTCAAGGAAGAAACATGATGGAACATAAAACTTTGTTCAAGAAAACGGATTAAAATAACATTTTAAATATGGAACATATAGCATTTTTAAGAAAACGGATAAAATAATATTTTAAATTGGAATTGTTCTCTCGTGCTCTGACTCAGATGTTGAAATCCTAAATTATTTAATTTATCATTTCATCCACTTTTTTATAGTTCTTCAAACAAAAGGAGCGTTGCACGCCAATTTAGAATTTATTTATATAACGGTTTTGATTTTCATCTGTATGTACAATGTATATATTACATAATACATATTTAAAAAACTGTAGCTTACTGTTTATTTCGCAACGCAATTACTGTCGGAAAATTTTTATACTTATTATAAATGTTGTACAGTGTACATACGTATTACGCAGATAATAATAATCAATTAAGAAAATCTGGAACGACTCTTTTCCAAAACAGTGAACAACCAGTTTTATTATGATATATTTCTAGTCTTCCTTCAGCTATCAAATTGTACATTATGCAACGTTATATTGTAGATTTATGTAAGTACTGTGGTCCCTTGAATAAAATTGAACAAAAATGGACAGTAAAAAAATTCTTTTAAGTGACTCTTCCGATTTACAAGTTTACAACGGTAGCCTTTAAAGCTTTTCTAATCAAGTATTGATTAGATATGCAAGTTTTTGTATCTTTAATCTGTTTTTTTTAATTGTGGTTTCTCTGCAAAAGTGACTTGCACAATTTTTGCTAATCAGAAACAATGGAGAAATTCACAGAAATAAACACTTTTTCCGATTGAGAAAAACGACGCTATCTTCCACGTTTTTGATCAGATTAAGGTTTCAAGGACATTGCTATCTTTGCATGGACCGGGTCACTAAACTACGATTAAAGTCCTTCCTTGTTATTTGTCAATGGCATTAGTTAGTTAGTAGTCGTCTGTTTCCATTTTATTCCGGTGACCACCGTACGTAATACGTATTTTAGCAAAACTATAAATATTAATTGTTCTATGATTCAGTATTTAACTAAATGTTTCGAAAAATACATATTTAACTGGAGTAATTTCTGGATAAGTTTTTAATTTTCATTGAGTTTCCACTGTAAAGTTCTGTAAATCCAAGGTACTAATGCAAGGAAAGTTATTTCAGAGGTGTACGCATTTTTTGTATTGAAGTGTACTGTCTTTGGGCGGAAAAGTAAACACAAGACGGATGTCACACCCTGACATGGAATCCATTTTCACAAAAATAATCGATGAAATATTCTGGTCATAGGAAACTATTATGTAAATTTTCAAAATTATAAAAATTAAATGTTTTTATCCTCCTAGGATACTAAACGAACTGCACTGATGCATGCATCTATTCTTGTATACAAATTCCGCCCAGAGAGAACTGGTTTCAATATGTACGCAGAGTATACGCGACCGCATTCAACTTTCCTTACATTAGTACCGTGTTTCCGTCCCCTATGGCGTATACATGACTTTGACCAAATCCCAAGTTTATAACTTGTTTGAATTTGTTAAATACAAGAATAGACTTTTTAACATGAAAAATTCTTTATTGTACATCATAAAACAGGGGACTTTACTAGCAGAAACACCTCTCTATTCTTTGAGACCCCACTAATTCAAAAACTTTAAAAAACTCTCAGAGAAGTTTTCTTCAATGGAAATTTAACCCCATNCCCGGAGGATTCAGTGATAAACCCGTGGGCCTTCTATTTTCCCTGTTCTGTGAGGGAGGGATTTCAGGACCGTCATGAGCCCCGCTAAGTGACCTCCAGAGCCTCTTGATACGCAGAATCACCTCAAAGCCCTGCAAAACCGTCTCCGTCCCTCTCACTACGCCTGTCATTCTGACTCCGCGCCCCACATTTTGATCTCCGCAGCTACGGAGGTCATTTTACTCACGGCAGCCCTGTTCCCCCTCCCTCGTTTTGTATATTAAGCACACTGCACAGTCAGTAATTGTTCTTGTCTATCTAAGCCCGCTGTGATAGGAATATTAAGAATACTACAGGGTGTCCCAATAAGGATGGGAATTAAGTGACGATTTTTATTTCTTCTTCGATTGTTATTTAGCATGGACACGATCATTGCAGCATTCCATTTAAAACAAATTATACCGAAAATGCCAGGTTTAAAGTGTGGCCTACCATTTTTGTATATCTTCAAAATTGACTGAGATATTACCAAATTCGTCCAAATTTCAATTTATTAGCTAAATTGTTTTTAAACATAATATTATTATCAATTATTAATAAAGGTAGGCAGACTTCTTTTTGAAAAGCTCGTAAGACGTAAAGCCTATCTCTCTCATGCATTAAACATCGTCAAAGATAATTTTTAAGTCGACTTTCAATTCCCAAATGTAATGAGACACTCTGTATCAAAATCAAATCAGATCAGATCAGATCAGATCAGATCAAATCAAATCAAATCAAATCAAATCAAATCAAATCAAATCAAATCAAATCAAATCAGGAACCCTAAGTACCCAAAGTAAACAATGTAAAACACAAGAATGAGACAAGGCCTCTAGTGTTTTCACAAAAATAGTTTCATGATAGTTACTCGGATTTTGTTCTGCAATTCAAAATCTATTCTTGCGTTTTGTTAAATACATTTCAATATTATTCTTATCGCCAATTTTTTATTTTGTGTAGAACATTTTTTTACGCACCCTGTTTCTATATATATATATATATCTATATATATATAGTCTTGATTACAGATAATTAGATTTTCCACGAGTCCATGTTGGATGAACAATGATAGTTCCTAGACAGATAAACATTCTTTCAGTTTTACCGATATATGGACAATGTTAGGATTTTAGGATGGTTCGCGCCCATCTTCCATTTCAATCGAACACTTTCTCTTTGTATACATTGTAAAATATAAACATAACGAACAAGTTTGAGGATTTAAAAAAAAATTTTCGTGGATTTTCAAATTTTAATGAAAATTGAATTTTATTAAATCTTGATAAAATATAAACCTTCCCTGAAGTCACATGAGGTCCCACACAAAATTTGGGTACGAACGGTTCAGCCGTTTATTGAACACAAACAGACAGACAGACAGACAGAGTATATATATTTGGGTTTTTCTGAAGCTTTGGGTTTCCAATCTAGTCGCAATTAAAGCTTCTTTCTGATGCTCTTAGTGTGACTTTTTTATTTATTCCTTTCTCCAATTAAATCAAATTTAAACGTTAAGTTTAAATAAGTGAATTTTTTAATCTGCATCAATAATACACAACACTCCGATTTTTAAGGGAATCTCAAACCAGTTTTAGATGTAAAAAAGAGTCTAAGAAAAACTGGATGAAAGACTAGGGAGGGGGGGTGTCCTAACCTAATCTAGTCCCCACTTAAACCCCATAAAACCTATCCAACATGAAACTAACCATAAACAGTTCTAGAACTCACAATAAAATATTTCATCTGTCGAGCATTTATTATAAAAATATTACAAGAGAGAGAATAAAAGGATCCTAGCAATGAAACTGCTAGAGTGGATCCAGCTGGTAGATCTGAAGACCTAGACAGGGATGAAACAGGTTCCGTCGAGGTGTTGAGATCTCCCAGTATTCAGCCTGGACTGAGCCCGTGTCCTAGAAAACAGTAAGTTATATAAAAATGTGATATTTAAAGACAACTGTTAAATTCAAGTTATAAATTTGCATACCCCAATGAAAAGAACCCCAACAATTGTGCAATGTACACAGAGTTGTTTCAAACTACTGATATAAGTAAGTATTATCAATGAAGTGAGCAATTTTGATAAAGATATCCTTGTTTTTATATCTGAAAAATATTACCATGATGTTGGTGCGCTGCGACTAAGGGATTGTTGTGGTGTAGATCTATTCGTGAAGCTTCGCAATGATATCTGTTTCACGGAACAGATGGAACTCTGTTCCATCAATTTCCATCTAAATAAGAAAATCAAAATAAAAAATTCTGTTGTTACCTACAGTTCGTTTACAATGGCGCCTCAGAATTCCAGTTCCTGTTGTTAATTTACTCTGGCGCCTCTGAATTCTATCAGCTACTGTTTATTTTCCTCTGAACTTTAGTACCTAATGTATATTTACCTTTGCGCCTCCGAATTATAGTACCTAATGTATATTTACCTTTGCGCCTCCGAATTATAGTACCTTCTGTATTTACCTTTGCGCCTCCGAATTATAGTACCTAATGTATATTTACTATTGCGCCTCCGAATTATAGTACCTACTGTATTTACCTTCGCGCCTCCGAATTATAGTACCTATTGTATATTTACCTTTACGCCTCCGAATTATAGTACCTACTGTATATTTACCTTTACGCCTCCGAATTATAGTACCTACTGTATATTTACCTTTACGCCTCCGAATTATAGTACCTACTGTATATTTACCTTTATAGTAACTAATGTAGATTTACCTTTACGCCTCCGAATTATAGTATCTAATGTATATTTACCTTTACGCCTCCGAATTATAGTACCTACTGTATATTTACCTTTACGCCTCCGAATTATAGTACCTACTGTATATTTACCTTTGCGCCTCCGAATTATAGTATCTACTGTATATTTACCTTTGAGCCTCCAAATTATAGTACCTACTGTGCATTTACCGTTGCGCCTCCGAATTATAGTAACTAATGTAGATTTACCTTTACGCCTCCGAATTATAGTACCTAATGTATATTTACCTTTACGCCTCCGAATTATAGTATCTAATGTATATTTACCTTTGCGCCTCCGAATTATAGTACCTACAGTATATTTACTATTGCGCCTCCGAATCATAGTACCTAATGTTTATTTACCTTTGCGCCTCCGAATTATAGTATCTAATGTATATTTACCTTTGCGCCTCCGAATTATAGTACCTAATGTATATTTACCTTTGCGCCTCCGAATTCTGGTAGTAGAACCTTGTCGCCGACTGTTACAGCCATAGGTAGGTGGGTTCCAGCATCGTTCCTTTAAACAGAAAATTCAAAAACAAGAAATATTTGGTGAAACTCGCGGTTGTGTGTGTCTATAACAAAACTCAAACCAGGTTTAAACTTTTTTTTTTTGGTAGAGATAAAATGGAATATATTTACGTGGTTTGTGTTAAAAACGGGCCATTATTCGTTTACCAACTTTTTTGAAGAAAATATAAATAGTGGTCCATTGGGGTCAGAGGACCGTCAAATCAAAAGTTGTCATGTTTGTTTAACCAAGACCACATAAGTATTAATCAATAATCAGTGAGTGATATTGTTTCTCTATGCAAGTATATTTGGAATTATCAGATAATTATTCTCTCTAATTTCTATGTCCAACGATTGAAAGGCTTTATAAGATGTAATACAGGGGACATTAGTTCCAAAACTATCACTATCTTTTTCAGGAGTATATTTTCTAAAATCCAATACGAGTAAACAAAATTACACCATATATTTATAAAAAAAATGGCTAATCCTATATTTTGAAACAATAAATTTGAATCTTTAACTAATAATAAGGTGCGAGAATTAGTTTTGTATGAATCTTGATTTGATTTTCGAACATATCCCTATTTTAAAACAATTGCCGGATTTCAGCTCGTGTCGCGTTTTCGGAACATATCCTGGTTTTGAGACAATTGCCGGATTTCAGCTCAGTCGCGTTTTCGGAACATATCCTGGTTTTGAGAAAATTACCGGAATTCTTATCAATGTCAATTATCAAGTATTTACGCACTTATGAAGCAAACAAGATTTTTTTTATAAGGTAAAATATAAACAAAATAGAAAAGAAAAACCAATTGTTCTTTTATAATTTAATAATCATTACAGCATTTAGAAATCAAAATATTAATACAATTTGTTCTTACAATAAAGATTTAACTAGAAATGCGGGAAACTGTTTGTTTAAAATGCCTGAAAATTAATAAATCATCGATATTCTCTAATTTAAAATCATAAAATGTGGAAACTAAAATTCTAGAAATAATTGAGAAGTTAATTTAGTCTTCATAAGATAATTTTCTTTTCATGGATTTATTTTGTAAGTTATTAAAGCGAGTTTTGTTTTGAATGGAGGATTGTACTCAAAAACGGGAAAGTGGGTTTTGTCTCGAAAACCCGACAATGTTTCAAATTCAGGATATGTTCTAAAATTGAAAACCTGACATTGTCTTTCAAATTATAATTATCATAATTTTGATTAAAAAAAGAAAGTTTAAAATTGGGAATTGTTGTCCTCGTCATGTTTAATAAAATGTTGGTTATAGTTTTTATTATCGACTTTTACTATGGATATGGGCCGGGATCCCAAAAACCCAGTCTTTCAATTTGTGCCCATTTCTAACACTCAGTGTTAGAAATGGGCCAAGTATTAGTTTTGGAACTAATGTCCCCTGGAATAGTAAAAACGAATGAAGTCCAGGGGTGAATAGTTCCAAAAGAGAAGAACAAAACTAATTGTAAACCTTAAATAAAATTTCTAAAAATGTTGCTCATACCTTAAACCTTAACTCCCAAAACAAAAATATGTTTCTAGAAAATATTCACCCCTGCGAAAGTCTCAGGTTCAAGATCAATTAAAACTTTTCCTCTTCTCTAGAGATTCTTAATGAAAAACTTGAGTGTCAGATATAATGTTGAAGAAATAAAGTGACTGTGCACGATACAGGATAGATATCAATATATATGATACTGTGATTAGGATCCATTTAATTTTAATGCGGATCCGGATCCTGGATCTGCACTGTAAAAAATGGATCCGGGCCCGGATCCAGGTCATTTCCTTAAAATTTACTACTTATTTTACACAGCAGAATTTTCAAATTTTTTGTCTTAATTTTTTCGCTTATTTCCATGCTAAAACTTGATGAACCATTCAGAAATCAGGAAATTTTTACAATAAACCTTTTATCAATAGCGCAGATTTGGGTTTTGAGAACATTTTTTTTGCAGTTTTTAGTTGATACTTTGCCCCTTGGATCCGAATCCGTGGATCCGGGAATCCATTCGGATCTTAAGCACTGAGACAATGATAAGATTTTATGTTATAGTACTTCTTTTCTCTTATCTGAATTCATTTAATTAAGCCACCAACGCTGATCTACCGATTCGGTAATTATCCCAGCAAACTTCGACTTTCGATCCCAATTTGACCATGATGGGTCATTTTTCTTTTATCATTTACACTTATTTTTGTTGGCAGATGCGCTTTTTATTGACAAGACAACTACGTAAATTTAAATACGATCGAATTCTAAACCAAAATGCGATTAAATTCAAATATAGGAAACCAAACCGCATCTCACCCTAGTTAGTCCATGGTGCTTGGTGCACTTATACTTTGTTACACGAAGGGGCAAATTTAACATTTGTCAAGATTTTTACCTTGCTCCAGGTCCTACTGCCACCACGGTACCCTCGAGACCCTTGGACTGGGCTTTCTCGGGGATAAGAATTCCGCCCTTAGACTTTGTTTCCGCAGCGATTCTCTACAATTAATCAAAATAAAATTCACCAATCAAACAAAGAAAGTTTTCATTTGATAAACAAGGTTTAAAAGTGTTAAGTTAAATCAATGATAGGCAGTCATAAATGAACAGAAAGCGTAATTTCAAGTAACCCTCAATGCAAGGATGGCAATGCCTGTTTCACAATGGCACCCTTCAGAGTTGTCTCGTCAATTATGAAAAAGATATCTATGGTTGTTATGATAAATAATACACGCAAGCAAACTCATATTCAATTCAATTCAATTCAATTCAAGAAGCTAGGTTAAAAATGATCGTTCTAATCGATGTCAGAATCAGAATCAGAATCAGAATCAGAATCAGAATCAGAATCAGAATCAGGTCAAATCAAATCTAAAGGGAACCCCTATTATCCACTCCCAAAACTTGAAGTGAATATACTAAATCAAGAGAGAAGTGAGGTAATAAAATTAAATATAGTACTCAAAATACTTTTAGTCAACAGAGGTGTTCAAAATATTCAAATAATAAAGAGCTTATCCTTCCGATGATTTTGGTAGATTTTCTGCCCCAAACTATACCTGAACAAGAACCCGATCAAAGAGGGGGACAATCTTCTTAGCAATATTGGCCACAGCTCCGGACATTTTGATATTATTAGGGCACAGTCTGTAAAATATATTTATTTTACAACATGACAAGTTCTACGCCAAGTTAACAAGTTGCTAGGCCTAAACAATAACATTTAAGATTCAACTTATTTAAACTTATTGTGAAATTAAAATGCCAGTCTACAATTATATGTAATATTTTAAATCAATAATTAAAAAATAAGAACATTGCAAATTTTGAAATATGCAAATTTGAGTAATAACTATTTATGTTCACTGTCAATTTTAGAAATTCTAGACTAAAACTGTGCAATGTACTTCATTTAGATTTTATGTACATTGTACAATGTACAATTTTACAGGTGTATGATATAGTACAGTACAGAAGAGTACTGCTAATTTCTTGACAGACATCCGCATTTATTCCTTAAGTTTCCCGATGAACGATCCCAAACGATCTTCGTCGATCAGACCAACAAAACGATCAACGATCGCTCCTAGAACAACAATAATAGATAAGAAAGGTTTATTTAAGTGATGAAAATAGCTTTTAAATGAATAAATGTATCAACTTCTACTCCAAAAATAAAAATGAAGTAAATCAAATCAAATAAAAATTCACAAAATCAAACCATTAATTTTATTAATTGTAGTCCACGAAATTTTCTATGCAACACTTACCATTCTTAACTCCAATGACAGTAGGAACTGCGCTCACGTCGTGCTCTAAAAAGAAAATCACAAAATCAAAATAAAAAAAAAAATACTTTTTTACCATCTGAAGAAAAAATTCTTAAGATTTTTGCAACATTTCATTATAAACCATTGCTAAAACCAGTGCTACTCAAATAGATTATCAAGTACAATAGGTGGCAACAGAGAAATGAACCAATTATACACGACGACACAAGTGTCAAATATAACAAGGAAAACGAAATTGTCTCACATTAGATACATGTTTTCCAACATTAAATAAAAAAGTTTAAAAACAGAGACTAAAGAACACATAAAATTGCACTAATTTTATTGTAAGAAAAGCACTTTATTCTAAAATTATCACTATTATTGATAATTTTGTCGGACACAAAAACTGACGACACTTGTGACGACAGAATACAACTGTACTGAGAGTGTACAAATTCTAAGTTGGCCTCTATTGTACTAGAATCTATTTGGTGCTACTTAATATCCTTAAGCTAGATATTATCATCTGAGAAATTATCTTTATCTACTATTGCTATATCTGTATCTACTATAGCTATATCTGTATCTACTCTTGCTAGATCTGTATCTTTTATTACTTGATCTGTATCTACTATTGCTTTATCTATGTCAACTATGGCTATATCTTCTCATGTTAAATCTGTTTCTACTCTTGCTAGATCTATATCTACTTTTGCTAGATCGATAGCTACTATTGCTAGATCTATAGCGACTATTGCTAAATCTGTATCTACTCTTTCTAGATCTGTATCTACTCTTAGCTGTATCACTATTGCTCGATCTAAATCTACTTTTGCTTTATCTATATCAACTATTGCTATATCTGTATCTACTATTTATGTATCTGTATCTACTATTGATATATCTGTATCTACTTTTGCTTTATCTGTATTATCCATTTTTGCTATATCTATATAAACTTTTTGTAGATCTGTATCTAGTCTATTAGTACTGAATCTATATCTTCTATTGATTTATCTACATTTACTATTGATGAGTCTACATCTACAATTGATTAATCTACATCTACTATTGCTATATCTATATCTACTTTGGCTGCTTCTGTAATCTGTTTCTACTGTTACTATATCTCTTTATATAATTGCAACATCTGTATCTACTATTGTTATTTCTATATCTACTTTTGCTAGTTTTATATCAACTTCTGCTGGCTCTTTCGTCTACTTTTGCTCGTTTTTTAAACTACTTTTGCTAATTCTTTATGTACTTCTGCTAGTTCTATAACTACGTTTTCTAGTTCCATAGCTACTTCTGCTAGTTCTATAAATACGTCTGCTAGTTCCATAACTACTTCTGCTAATTCCTCATCTACTTCAGCTAATTCTATGTACTTCTGCTAGTTCTATAACTACGTCTGCTAGTTCCATAGCTACTTCAACTTATTCTTTGTCTACTTCTATATCTACTTGTGCTAGTTCGTTGTCTCCTTCTAATTTATAGTATACCTAAAGCAAGATCTGAAAAATCATCAATATCCACTATAGCTAGATCAACAGCATCTTCAGTAGCTGCTACTGCTGCTTCAAGTCTGTTAAATCATTAGTTCACAACAAATCAAGGAAGGAAACAAAATAAATAATAAATATGCTTTTCTTACAAGTTTTAAACATTTAAATGACCAACACAACGTTAAATGGAGATATTTTATTTAGTTCGGTCGTGTAATAATCAACCTACAGCTTCTAATAATATTTCAGCAAAACATTCGGATACGGCAATTTATGAACTCAGCCAGTTTTTGGAGATCATGGAAATCAATCAATGTCACGATATTTTGCATACATAATTATGAGAAAATATTAAATTTAAATTTCAGGCTCCTGTGACCTCTGTTTACTGAGTTATGGCCTCCTGAAGTTCCGGCCTCGAGGCAAATTTCGGCCTGACCTCGCATGCTTTAATTAGTTGTAACTTTTTATCAAGCTAATTTTGAAGCCACTTTATTACCACTAACAAAAAGACTAAATTCTAATTTTTTAAATCTTTTTTAATTTTACAAATTGCATATGCTCAGCAATTGCATTTATATCTTTTGACCGCAATTTTTTTAATGAGGGTATCCTCCAATGTTCGCTTTTTTTTTTTTTTAGAGATTTCCTATGAAGAATTTCATGATCATGTGAAGTTTCATTTTTGGCATTACTTGTTAGAGCTAGTGCTTTTTAACCTTAATTATGGGATATTTTTTGAAAATTTGCTTTCCCTGAGACTATTTTTCAAGCAAACAAGACAACTTTACTAAGTGTAAAGACCGCTGTAGTAAAATATTTTGTACTAAAATTGTGGTTAAAAAAGCTCAAGCTCCAATAAAAGCCAAAAATAAAATCTCTGAATTTTATTTAGAGAAAATCGGAGGATACACTCATAAAAAAACTCAAAGTAAAAAAATAAAGACACAATTTTTCAGCATATGATAATTGTAATTTTTTTAAATTTTTAAATAATAAAAAATTGCGTTAAAATAAGCTTGATATCTTCATTAACAAAAAAGTTAACACCAATTAAAGCATGCAAGGTCAGGCCAAAAATTGCCTTGAGGCTGGAACTTTAGTAAGCCATAACTCAGTAACCAGAGGTCACAGGAGCCTGAAATTTTGGATTTGATATTTTCTTGTAACATGATTGCTAGCGGTGTGCAAAATTTAAAGAAAATCCATGAAATTGACTTCCTCGGGGTGGCAGATTTAATACAATGAGTTTGCTTAAATAAATCTAGTACAGAAGTATTCGATTGCCATGAAAAAAAGCAAGAAAGTTCTAGGTTACATTTAATTGTCTACTGTTATGTGAACTACCCTGGGAGTAAGCATCTTGCAAGGTCCACACCAGGTAGCGCTGAAATCCACTACTACAGGTTTACTTCCACCAAGCACTTTACTCTACAACAATTATACTAATACTAATAATAATAATGCCCGGCGTTACCAGTGAAATAAATTTTTTTTGTTGAAAACATAAAGATTTCTGAAAAATATTAAGATTAAAAAATGTCGATTTAAATAAAAATCGAATTTTTATGCCCGTTTACCCCATGCAGGGCGGGCACCCATGGGTTCCCTAAAAAAAATCAGCCAATTTGGTCCAACCGTTTTATATATTTCAGTTTATAACTTCACATTTTATAAAAAAAGAGGATATAGATTTATGTGCATGAGCGAAGCGCTATATTATATATATCTATATGAATATTTTATCCGACCAAACCAAATTAAAGTAGATAGAAAACAAATCAAAAACAATCAATTTAAAATAAAAAAATCGAATTTTTAAGCCTTTATATACCCTCTGGAAGGGTGGGCACCCATGGCTTTCACTAAAAAACCAAAAAAAACCAGCCAATTTAGTCCAGCCGTTTTATATATTTCAGTTTTTAAATTTCACATTTTAATAAAAAATAGGAAAAAAGGAAATAAATTTATATGCATGAGCAAAAAGCTATAATATATAGAGAAATGAATATTTTATCAGACCAAACCAAATCAAAGTAGATAGAAAACAAATCAAAATCAATCAATTTGATTATTGAAGAAGAATAATTTTTTTGATAGAAGTTGACAGTGTCCAATTTTTATTTATCTCCCAAGATCATCATATTTTCTGTAAAAATATATATCCTTCCTTACCTTAAACTCTTCTTCACTCTGAATGGCATAAACAGCTGGTTTGAGCGCGCTCAGTGAAAGGTGCGCGCGCGCCGGGACAGCTCTGCATGTCAATCTCAACAGGTGTGTGCTCAACATTTTTCTAGAATTTAATAAATTTTATAAACTAAGTTTTATAATGCAAATAATACTGGAAAAAGATATCACAAAACAGAGATAAACAAATAAATATCACAGATTTATTTTTTTTTGGAGAATTTTTTCTACCCATTACAAAAATAAAAAATAAATAAATAAATTAATAAATAAAATTAGAAAATGTTTGGTAAAGCTATCAACTTACAAATTGGTCTTAAAAGTTCAAATTTTAGAATTCAGGGATTGTCTAATAGCTCCCGGGGTATGCCGTCACAATACCTTTCAAATCAAGGCTTTTCAGCTGAAATAGTTAAAGCCTAACGTTGAACTCGTGAGCAAATTTGAGCCATGATGCCGGTCTGTACTCATTCCATCAGATGGAGCTGTAAATTTAAATTTGAACCCAATTTTAGATTCACGGATCTTTCAATAAAAACGGATCATCAGAATTGCTTTGACGGTGGGACCAGTCTTCTCTAAGTGGATCGTTCAAGAAGGGATCCCCGTCTATGTACTTAAAGTTAGTAAAAGGGTCCCTAGCATTGTTGGGATTGTCTAAATCTACCGTTTCATCAGTCTCTTTAGATCCTGGCCTGAAACAAACGATATTTTATATCGTAAATAGTGGTCTAAGAAATCCATGTTGTGTATTGCCGGAGGCAGTGCTTAGGATCCGGATCCGTTGGATCCGCAAGATTTCAACAAAAAACTGCAAAAAATTTCTCTCAAACCCCAAATCTGAACTATTGAAAAAAGAGAGATTATAAAAATTTCCTGATTGCTGAATGGTTCATTAAGTTTTAGCATTAAAATAAGCGAAATAATTAAGAGAGAAAAACTTGTAAATTCTGCTTTGTTAAAAAAAATCAGCAAATTTTATGGACTTAACATGGATCCGGATAATTTTTTTTCCATTGCGGATCCAGGATCCGGATCAAAATTAAATGGATCCTAAGCACTGGCCGAATGAACCTATTTAAAACTTATACCTTCGAACTGTGAAATATACAGATGGATACTGGGTAGGGTCAAATTTTTACGACATTATTGGCCCACTTTTAAACAGTTAACAGCATAAAAGATAAGACATAGTTAACAATCAACTACTGTTAACAATTAACCATGGTTAACAAACAGCTGAAACCGTTCTCGAGCTCATTAAAACAAAAACCGGATCGGAACGGGGATGGAACGATTGGGAAAAAAACGAAATTGGAACTAACAATAAAAAATAGTTACGTGTTGAGCCATACATAAAGGGTTAACCACAAAGGATGAGAATGTAAAGACGACCCAAAACTATGAATATGACGATTTGAACCCTGAAAGAAAGAAAAAGGACTAAAAAAATTCCGTACAATCGTCTCTGAAGTTTCATCCTTAGTGTGGGTCAGCCTGTATCCCTCTGCTTTAATTGTGAATACCTGTGTGTATTGAACTGATCTCCAAGGACAAGAAAGGAAAACACATTATCGTCTTCCAATTTATTGCAGAGAGAACTCTCGCAACAGACCAGGAGGTCATCCAGCTCATACCTACATCATATATATGTATATTTCTAACACTTTCCCCTATTTTCCAAAAAACAGTTTTCCTCTGCGATCGTAAAACTAGAAGTAAAAACCGCACAAGCCTAATGCGGTTTGGCGTCTTTAAGAAATACCAGCCAATTTCATGACAAATAATCGAAATTTTGGATTTAAATTGCTAGAGATTCTATAATTTTATACCTGTCCGCTAACAATAAAAGATCAGCTAAAGTTTGCGCAGAGAGATCGGACAAGTTGAGATCCAGGAGTCCAGAATATATAAACTGAAAAGTATTTGTTTCAATTTCTTTTTCGAGACTTCAAAAAATTTTAAGAGGGGGGGGTGGGGGGGGGATGGACGGAGATTATTCTACACCAGGGATAAGGTCGTTAACTAATCTCCTGTTCTCTGTATCTCAGGTGAAGGGTATGCACAATCTTTTTTACCTCCTTAAGTTTAATTTTCCCCAAATAAAGCGATAAAAAGAAAATAAACCCTTGACATTGGTTGCACGTGTACCTGCCGTACCATGTGCAAACATTTGCGACATAACGGTATAAATGAGTTTAGCAAAATATAAACCCCACTAATTCAATTTCGTAACCAAGTGAAAAATAATAATTTTAACAAAATACAGATACAAAGATGGAGCCCCGAATATTACCTTGAGAAATAGGTTAAAGGTGCCAAAGTCGCAGTCTCGAAGAACAATTTTCCGTTCTCTCTCCTCCCGCATTCCGCTTGTCAGCGCGCGCAGGAACCAGGGACAACGCGCACACACTACTACACGGTGCGCAGGGATACTCTGAACAGTCTCTGTGTGAATCACCTCTTCTGGGTTGAGAGTATCTGTACAGGAGAGCGGAGACAGAGTATCATGTCTCAGTTCGAACTTCATATCTGCTCCGATCTTAGTCTTGAACAGGTTCAGACCTGAAGCTGCTAGAGAGCTCTCCCTGGAGAGAGGACTACTAGAAAACCGTTTCGTCAGGGTTAGTCCAGGATTCAGCTCAGCACAATCAGAGCCCACACGGACCATCTGAAATAGTTGAAATATGTAGTTGAAAAGGAGGAAGAAAAATTGAACTTGATAAATTGGTCAATAAAGTTTCAGCATACAACATACATAGCAATAAGAAAACAATTTTTGAAATGCCTCTTCATTAATAGGAATTCATTTCATTAAAAAGCGTTGAGATGACTTAGGACTGTACATTCTTCAACAATATGTTTCCCTGTAATCTGCATACCTGAACTGAGGCTGGATTTATGATGAGGCCAAGGGAGACTAGGGCGGCCTCAAGGCTGTCCTGTTGCAGGGTGTCGAGGATATTTCGAAGAACAGGTTCAATCAAACCCTAATCCAGGATTCTACATCATTTAATACCCTCCCCCCCCCCCCCCCCC